CTGGGTGTGGGTGTGAATGTGATTATAAATCTTCGTCTTACCAACACTCGCACCCACAACTGCATCCATTCACAGTCTACATACGCAGCATAAGTTTTACGTTAACAAAGTCATTCAGTAAATGGTGCTTCAATTGAAGTTCGACCAGGATGTGGGTATGGGTGAGTCTCAGGGATCATTTAATTTACACTCACACCCACGCCCATATAAGTAAAAAGGAAGAAGTTATTATTAAGATTCCTCTCAAAATATGCTCTCCAAGCCAGAACGCGCTATTGAGCTGAAACTTTGAGGATATAACGGGGCGTGTACAGGATTTACTGCCGTAAACAATTTGCATTAGGCGCGCTTTGCTTTCATGCGAATTCCAAAAAAAATTAATTAAAATATTTATTTGTTCACAACTATTTTTCCTTTTATGGTCTCTTTTCCCCGTAGCACACACCCTTGCTCTTATTAAGGATTTAAGCGATTTAGAAAACGGAAAATTATGTCGAATAGTTGTTGAATGTATATTTTAGATCGAATCCGTACTTTTTATACTAGGAAAAAACATTTGAATGTTATTCTCCTTTATACGACATAATATTCTTGTAAAGAATGAATTTTTATGTTTCAGAACGGAATTGCTCTTTTAGCATTAAGCGATTAAAAAAAATCAAATAAATCGACTCTTATTGTGTCGATATATACATGTTTATGCTGTGAATTTTAGTGGACTAGATGAATCAAATTGTTTTATAAATTCATCACAATTTAATACGTTATGATAAATATTCTTCTTTGGAAATACAATATCAATTTGATGTAAAATTATAATGTAATATATTGATTAATATAATATGATAAATGAATCAATGTATTGTATCACATAAAAAGGTTAAAAGAAAATGATGATATTTAAAGGAAAAAAAATGGCAAATAAGATCTATACAACTCATGAGTTTATGTGTATATAGGACAGATTTGATAGAATTTTAATTTTTTTGAAATAAATTCTTTAATAAAAATAATGGTATATCATAATATAGTTATACAGCAGTATGAATGTGAATACTGAATCATTTGTTTCAACTTGAAATTCCTTGACTATTAATAATATGTTCTTCAATTTTTTAAGTAAAAAAAATACATATAAAATGTTATAGTTTGTCTGCATATGTATGTTTCTATTTAAATTTTATTAAGCATTTATTATTTTCTCTTTTTTTTCTTTTTAAATTAATTGATAAATCTACTTTTAGTATTCTACTTCGCTATAAGAGTCATAGAAATCTATGACGAATTCTCAATAAAATAAAACATTATATATTTGCTGAGTAATAAAAAAAGTAAACAAAAAGAAAATATTACGTTAAACATGACAATCATCAACAAATCGATTATTTTTAGAAATTTCAGATGATATTAAAATTTTTCGTTCTAGTAGAAATTTTTCTCTACATGAAGAAAAGAATTCTATTTGTTTTTTTTGTTTTTTGAATGCTTGTAGTATTAGTGTATTAATCTCTTTGTTTTTTATAAATAAAATATTTCTTATTTATATAATTATTGAGTAATTTATTCGAAACGAATCTAATAAATCAAATTTTAATATAAAATAGGTACTAAGATAGTTCTTATCGTTCATTTTAATAATTATGTCATCCTTATGCTAATGGAAGTGACTATGTACACACGAGTGTATATAGCTGACTGACTATATACACATATGTGTATATAGCCCTTTGGCTATGTACACACAGGTAGATATAACCAATATATTAGTAAATATGAAGTCATATTATAATATTATATGTTTTTGTTGATTAATATATATTAAATATTTAAGCTTTTTCATAATTTTATTAATTCTTTATTACATACAAATAAAGTATAAGTCAAATAAAGATCAACAACTCAACAGCATATCCAGTGCTTTCTCTCTTTGGTTTTAAACGAAACAATTAAATTTCATTGTTTTCAATACATTTAACATAATGATCACGTAAAAGATATCTGATCATAAAACATTAAAGATGGAACATCTCTATCTCTAATGCTTTATCTGTTTAAACTGAATAATTCTTATAAACTTCCTCATTTTTGGATCGTTATGAGTTAAATTTTGAGTTTTCACAAAAAACAATTTTATTTAATTCCGTATAGCGTTTTAAAACAAGTAACGCTCGTCTATGGACTTGCTTAGCTCTTTCTCGTAGAAGAACTACTTTCTTATTATCAGCAAATTATTCATTTAATATACATATGTTATTCATCTCTGGCTCACTCATATCGCTGCTCTCTAAATCATTGAATCATTCGAATGGAGCCCGTAATCAAATCACCCGTTCTTGATTACTTTGGATGAAGCTTTATACAATAAACTAATAACTATTAATTAATTAATAGCTAATTAATGGAAACGGATCACAGATTTAGACTCTTCATCGTTGATTACCTATGGTGAATTTTTATTTAAAATAATAATGATTAATAATTAGTTAATAGCTAATTATTAATTAATTAATTAAAACTGATATCAGATTTGAATTCTTTACCTTCAATAACCCGCAGTGAAGTTTTACGAAAAATAATAATAATTTATAATTAATTAATACTTAGCTAATAATTCATTAGTAATAAGTTAGCAAAAACTGAGCTCAGATTTGGATTCCCCATCTTCAATAAACTTTGGCCAAGTTTTATAGAAAAAATTAATAATTAATGAATAGTTAATAATTAATTAATAATCAGTTAAAACTAGTCTTAGATTCGAACTCCTCATCCTCGATTACCCTTTGGTCAAGTTTTATTAAAAATATTAAATATTAATTAATTAATAATCAATAATTAGTTAAAACTAACCTCAGATCCGAACTCATCATCCTCGATTACCCTTTGGTCAAGCTTTATGGAAAATAATCCTTTTTGTCTTCACCTTCTTTTGGACCAATCGCTGAAGTGCGGACATACAAGCAAGCAAACAAACAATTTATTCTCACAAGACTCTTCTCTACGAGAAAGAGAATAAATTCACAATATAATCGAGCCGATTCTTGGTTTGGTCTTAATTCATCTTTTATATGTCTTCGAACAGGACATCTATGATGACATACATACATTACATTTTGGTACTGAACATAGTTAAATAATTCTCTCGTTATTTTTTCATTATATTTCATTGAAGAACGTTTTATATTCGTTGGTTGATAACAATTAATGCACCAATTTTTAAATTCTTTCTCAAAATGTGCCCAACTATCAAACTGCTTTTTAAAGAGAGAATAATTATCTTGCTTTATTTTTCTGGTTGAAGAATTACGATAAGCACGAAACAATATACTTAGATTTAACTATAATAGCAACATATACCTTTCTGTAGCAGACATTGAGAATGATTATGATAGACTTTTTAATAATATAAGAGGATTTATTTAATACTATAAATGAGGTTATATGAAATCGGTCCATTTTATTATAACAATTCATTTCATTTCATTTGAAAAAATATGAATTAGCTCGATAGAGAAAAAGATTAAAGTAAAGATTAATCAATCTATCTTAATAAAGGTTATGTTCTCAGATGTCAAGTTATTTGACTTTTTCTATTTTTCAGTTTCCGATTTTTAAACCAATCAACTAAGAAAAGAAGATATAAAATTTTTCTTTATATAAGTGATCGACAAAAAAATATGATATAATGAAGAGGGAAGATAAGCGCTAACACTAGATGGTTATCATGTATTCTATTTAAAATAATGAAATTCAACTGTTTCGTTTAAAACCAAAGAGAGAAAGCACCAGAAATGCTGCTGAATTATTGATCTTTATTTGACTTAATTTTTTTTCTATATGATTTATACTTTATTCTTATGTAATAAAGAATTAATAAAACTATGAAAAAACTTAGATAATTAATTTATATTAATCAACAAATACATATAATATTATAATATGACTTCATATTTACTAATATATTGGTTGTATCCAGGGCTGCCATCTGTACCCCATTTCGGGGTACAGTACCCCATTTTAACGTTTTGTACCTCAAAAAGATTTGTACCTCAGAGGTACAAAATTTGTACCCCATTTGGACAATTTCCTTTTGCATAAGATTAAAATCATATTTTGTTAAAATCGATAAACTTATTGACTGTAGTTGACATCTTTATTTAAATAGTAGAGATACGAAGAGTCAATTACATTGGCTGATTCATGACCAATACAGGACATTGTTATTCTTAGCATTGGTGTTTCCTTCTCTTTTGCAATTTGAATCTCACGATCGAAATTAAATCGTGTTTCTAATCGATTATAGTTTTCTATTAAAAGAATTCATATATATTTATTGCAAAATACCGAGGAATTATTGTAGATTTTAGTTATGCAGCAAATGAACAACGATAATTCTATTGAACTAGATATTGAAGTCATTGAGGAAGAGAATGACTCCATGACACTCGAATTTGAAAAACCAATAACACCAAAAGAAACATCAAGTTCTATGTCTAGATTATCTTTCAATATAGAAAGAAAGTCATTGAATTCTTCATCAAAATCAAAAAGATATTGCAAGTTCAACAAAGAATGGATTAAAATTTCGAAATGTGCATCATTTTTACAAGAGTGTCGAACAGATTCATCACTTGCACATTGTTCTGTGTGTAAATCGAATTTTTCAATTGCTAATGGTGGGAAGTATTTGATCGATCGTCATCTTGAACAAGCGAATCACAAGCGTCTAGTAGCAGCAGAAGCTAAACACATATGTAATTTAGTTTGTTCTTAATTCAAAAGAATACTGATTATGTTGATCTATTGTCTTTTAGCACATTCAATGTTTGATTTTATTCCTCACTCGACTGAATTGACAAAGTTGGTTGCTGCTGAAATCACATTAGTTTATCACGGAATACGTCATGGACATAGCTATTTGAGTCAGGCATGCACTGCTGATGTCTCGAAGAAATTGTTTCAAGATTCAACTATTGGAAAAAATCTCACATGTGGACGAACTAAAGCTCGTGAAATTGCTGCTAATGTTTTAGGTGAGTAATAATTCTTTTCTAAAACAGAAGTATACTGACCAATTAGAGAAGAAGGGTAAAGATCGTTAGACGAATATTTCTTATTAACATTTCTTATTTTTTTACGATCTTTTTTTAGCTCCATTTATGATTTCTCAAATTACAGAAATGATTAATAAATCCGGTTTTTATTCTTTATCATTCGATGCATCTAACAAAGGTCACAAGAAAATGTTTCCATTTGTTGTAAATTACTTCACAGTTCGTGGCATCGAACGATCAGTGATTGAAGTAATTGAACTAGTTAATGAAACAGCTGATCATATTGTTGCTTCACTTCGAGAAGTATTGCAAATGAATAATATTGATATTCAGAATATGACATCAATTGGTGCTGATAATACAAACGTTAATTATGGACGAATTCATTCTGTTTTTTCTTTGTTGAAATCTGATATTCCACATCTAAAGAAAGGTGTTTTGCTATTGAAGAAAAATACACATGTCCCTAATAATAATGTTTTCTTCTAGGAAATTGTTTTTCACATGTCCTAAATAATGCAGTTAAAACTTCACATATACACTTGGTCATTGATGTTGAATCAATTTTGTCAAAACTCTATGGTCACTTTTCTTCTTCAACAAAACGAGTAGAAACTCTCAAAGAGTACTTTGATTTTGTCGAGCAAGATCATTTAGTAAAGCATATATCATATTATTAATAGTCATCAATTTTTTTTATATTCAGTTATTATTGAAACACATCAATATTCGTTGGCTTAGCCTATATCCGTCTATTGAACGATTACTCAAAGTATTTGATCCATTATCTGCTTATTTTTTGGATTTGGGTGACGAAGATGCTTTTCCATGTCCACCAATAATTTCAATGTTTTTTACTTCTACTGAAGCCAAATGTACAATGTATTTTTTGCACAATGTTTTGTTTGATTTACAGAAAAAGAGCTTGGAATTGCAACGATACTACGTTTCTATTGTTGATTTGAATAGAATCATCACTAGTCTTCTTAGCAAACTTAATGACCGATTGAAACAAAATTATTTTGGTATCAAACGAAAATTCTATTGAATTCATTGCCCGATTCAGATCGAAAAAAACTGAATCAATCATTTATCGATTATGTGTCTAGTGTAATTAAATATATTGAGAAATATTATGATGAACAATCTGAATTGGCTGAATTAACTGCAGTTTTTGGTATGTTTTATTGTGATAATCAGATAAGAGAACAGCTTCATTTTCCTAGGCATACGTGAAATCGATCAAATAAAATTTCATCAAATTGAAGAGTGTGTCGTTTTTCTCAAGTTGGAAATTGATCATGATAAATTATTCGATGAATTGAATATTTTACAATCCACATTCAAAGAAGTCAATTCATATCGTGAACCATTGAGTGATCAAATTCGAAAATATATCGGTGATGCTGCTCATAATTTCAGTGGAGATATAATCAATGATCAAAATAATGAATCACAGGATGAAGAAGATCTTTTTCATAAACCAACAATTGAAATTCATGAAAAAGAAAATCAGATTCGATCTGATCAACTGTGGGCATATCTGTTCACAAAATCAACAACTTTATGCAGCGAAATGACGAAAGTTCTTGCCTATGTTTATTCGATTCCTTGTTCAAATGCATTTGCTGAAGGTGTCTTCAGTCATATGAAGCACGCATGGACACCAAGTCGAAACTCGATGTCGACTGAAACAATTGCTACTGAATTAAAGATAAGATTAAATAGCAAGATAAAATGTGAAGATTTTTATTCTTTTGCACAATCTCAACTAGAATTGATTAAATCTGCTAAAAGCAAGCAGAAATACAGTTATGTAAAAAAACGTGTATTAGCTAATGCAAACAGAGAAGATTTACTTTAAGTGAATATTTTTTATTGTTTTTTGAACAGATATATGTCGAAAGAAAAAATGTATTTGTGAACTACTTGTTTCGAAATAAATATTAGAATTTAAATACTATTTTCAAAGCCGAGACAAAATTGGAAACAATCTTTTTACGCTAAAAATACTTTTCAAAGTCGATTTCTCATTGACACTGCTTGTTATTCAATAGAAAATTGTGTACCCCATGGACGCACCCCATTTAGAACAGTATTGTACCTCACATGTACCCCATTTAGAAATTTTTGTACCCCATTCTAAACCTGAACAGATGGCAGCCCTGGTTGTATCTACCGTTGTGTACATAGCCAAAGGGCTATATACACATATGTGTATATAGTCAGTCAGCTATATACACTTGTGTGTACATAGCCACTTGGCTATGTACACACAAGTGTACATAGCCGACGAGCTATGTACACATATGTGTATATAGTCACTTCCTATGCTAATTAAATAGTACTTAATGCCACGTGTAAGTCATTTTCATCTATTCATGGCCACAAGTAAGTTCTTAACAATTTTCTATATAAAGAAAATTCTGTTACGAATTAGCTTATATTTTTTCATAGTAATATAATTCAAAGTTTGTTATTTATATTAAAATGGCTGAACAAATTGCTTGTGCATTACGTGATTTATGTTTATTACTAATATATGATGATTATTATGAAACTGTTCAATATTCTTGCGGTCATATCGAGCATCAAAAATGTTATAATGATAATAACTGACATCATGTCTGTCCGATATGTCATCAATTTTCGCATGTACTTATTTTTGAATAAGTAACATGTATTATTATTATTATAAGTGTTTCCTAAAACAGAATCAATTTGATTTATTGTAATGTAGTTGTATCTTGGTTGTTTTAATATTTGTTTAAAAAAAATAAAATCAACTATTCATAATTCGACAAAAGTGAATTATTCGCAAATAGGGCTTTTTATCTTCAGCGTCTTTGATTAACACCAAAAAAATTGTTTTTAATATAAACAACATCGATAAAAAAGAAACAAATAATCTAAAGTAATATAAGATACGAAAAAGAAATCATTCATTTTCATTTACAAGCATATGTTTAATCTGATAATTTTCAATTTTTTTCCTATATTTTATAACAATATTTAATATATATTTAAAATTTAGCGTTAGCGATTAGTAGAAAGTGAAATAAAAAAAATCTTCTTTTTTTTAATTCTATAAAACTAATGCAAATTGAATATTTAAAATAAATGATTAAAACAT